ATGAATTCCATTCCACTGCCAATTCTTGAAGTGTGAAGAGCTCATCTTAAGGCAACTGAATTTATTATTGTGTTGTTTGAAATGTGTGTGTAAAGTCCAAAATCATTTGAGTTGCATTATTCTTTGGGACATTATTAAACACTCAATACTTTTGGGGCCTCTTTAAAGAGGCTCCCAGCCAGTCCCAGGCTGAATGTTGTGTTTTATTCATCATTCTCATATTTTCTTTGTGGAGACTTTTAGTCTCTAACAATCCTCAAGCACATAACTGTTCAAATTGAGTTACTTTATGAAATAAAAATTCACAAAAATCTGTTTCACTGGTCCGAGTGGCTTCTTTGTAGCAAAATTTCAATGCACACGTTTCTTTTTATAGGTTACAGATATATTTCCATTTCAACCAGCTCAAGTGTATGAGTCCTTCGTCCTGGGACACCCACAATCTCCCAGCGCAAGTTTTCTCTCATTTCCTTTTATTCTGTTTCTGGGTTTTAGGAAAAACCCAGAAAGATATTCCTTCTCGTTCATGTGAGAATATAACTACAGTATAAGGACAAGGGGTAGAGTTACTTTGATGCACGGTGGCGTGTTTTCAAGCGGAGACCCGCCATCAGTCCATTAGCATCGGCGTGGAATTAATGCCCTCCAACCGCCTTTCTTCATCAACGTTTCCTCAAACTATTAGCATCACCATCAATCCCTCTCGCAGTCCCATGGTTGCGACGCATGAAAAGAAGATTCGAAACAATGCGCACGGAAATCTCAGCCTGGTTCAGGACAATGGAAGAATAGTAATTTGTTGAAGCTGCACCCTACTTATAGTCTGGGGTTTCAAGACCATAACTTTTACGAATGTTGCCAGCCAGTCTTGGCGCAACAAGCAATACAGTATTTATTCAAAGTATTAGAATCAGACTTCTCCAACCCCAGGTCCACAGAGGTTTTTTTTTTTTTTTTTTTTTTTTTTTTCTTTGTTTTTTTTTTTTTTTTTTTCTCCACCCCCGGGTCCCCAGAGGTTTTTTTTTTTTTTTTTTTGCAGGTCCCCGGGATATTTTCTTCGGCATATTTAATTTATCAGTGAAGTAGCAATGAAGTCTGTTATTATTGTTATCTGAAATTTTGAAAAGATAATAAGGGCAGTTGAAATTATCTGATGAAAAATAAAAAGTTGGCTTTACCCCTATAATAATGTTGCTTGAGACAAATGTTCACCTGCTGAAATATAATTATTTTAATTTCATTCTGAAAAACCTTTCTTCAGGTCCACCTTTATAATTTGTTGAAGGCATTCCACTATATACATGTGGTACCTTGAAATTCGACCCTAATACGAGTATGTTGAAAAACTACGGTCAACTTGCAAACCAGTCAAAATACGAGACACTTGTTGGAAATTGAAATTAGTGATAGGTTAAAAACAGCAGGATTAGAGTGGCGCCAGGAAAATGGCAATACATTGAGAAAGTTGGGGATCCAGTATGGGACCAAACTTGACCTTGAGTTCCCACAAGATTTGGAATTCTTGGGGAAATATTTTTAGAAGGATAATGCTCAGGGACAAAAAATGCCACAGAAAGAAATTGTTTCAATAGTGAATTGTTTCTGTATTGAATCATCAGTTGCTTCTGTGTCATCTTACGCAAAAGACTGCTTGTCAAAACTGCTGCTATTATCAATCAAACCTAATATCCAAAAATACATCAACCTTACACTAGGGTGTCAAGCACCCCGGCTGCAGCCCAGCTGACTGTGCCTAAAAAACTTTGTTTCATATTTTGCAAAAAAGGAATTCAAGTCAAAATCTACAAATCAAATTACTGTTTTGAACAACACTTTGCTAATTTAAAAAATATCAGTACAAAAATGTACAAAAATGGAGCAAAGCAGGTTGAATTGTGGGGCAAGGGTTGAATTGCAAGTCAACCTCCCTGCAAATTGTATTGTCAAATTGCTGGACAGTTGAATTTGGGAGATCGAAGTGCAACGTACCACCTGTAGCTGCTTCATTGGTTCTTAACTTGATTTTTGCAAAAAGCACATTTTTTTAATACCTGTCATGAAGCCTTTAAAACAAAATCTTTTGAGTTTGCAACATTGTATGAAAGTTTGCAAGTCTGCAGATTTTTCATATTTTTTATTTTCCAGTCCACAGGCCCAAAAAGGTTGGAGAACAGTGATGTAAATGACGGAATGCGGTACTTGTCACAGCGGATAATGATGTGAATTTTAGAAATACTTCGCTGTGTTTGGGTTCTATTGCATTTGAAGAACTCTGAGCACGAAAAAGTCGTTCAATGAACACCTATAAAAAGAAGAATACAATTCTGCAATTTTTTTTTATATGCACTTGATGAAAAGTTTTTTTTTTCGACGCAAGAAATGACGCAAGAGATTATCTGCGGCAGTTATTTTCAAAAAATAGTCTTTCAGCTTGAAACAGTTCTAATTTTTCAGCAAATAAATTTGAATAAATATTCTTCCACATTTTCCGGGTTACTGGTCAGGCGCACAGCTGAAAATACGATCGACCTCACTTCTTGGAAACACATTTTTCCCTTTATGCGCAGTGGAACATAAGCTGAAATGAGCTGTAGGCAATTTGCAGACGGAAAACCTATTCCATCAATATACTCGTGGTTTTTTTTTTTTTTTTAGCTTTATCGCGTTAACCATCAGAAACTAGCCATCGATTCGCATAACCCAGCAGGAATCAGATTACGTAATTTATGAGCAGACAGTGCCCCCAAACATAAATTACATAGGTTTCAAAAGTTCAGGCCTTCACAAAATCAATTCTATGAAACAGAGAATTTTGAAAAACCCAGATGCTTCTTCATTTCAGGTTTCATTCTTCGGAAATATCGGCAAGGAAAAGTATTTTCGAATCTTCAAACGAACAAAAACTTATGTCTCATTCAATTTTCAGCCGAAAGATTGCATTTAATCATCGTCTTTGCATTGGTATAACGATTTTATAAAAAATATATACAACGATTTTATAAAAAATATATAAGCTTCGAATGAAGGGTTATACGTTAAAATTAAGCGTACAAGAGAAAAATATTTCCAAAAATTAATCTAATTATTTTCTAAAGCTTTTATAGTATTATATATACATGTACGAGTATATGAATTTGTCAGGAGCCATATGAGTTTGCAAAAGTTTGATTGCCATCACTCGCAAACAAATGACAAATTGAAATTAACTCGTTTTTCGTCCGAAATTTGATATTTCATTTTTATATTTGTATAACTGTTTGAGCATTACGGATAAAAAAACAGAACCCCAGAATAAAGGGTTATTATGAAATGGATTATGAAGGACAAAAATATCTTTGAAAATCCGTAAAAATAATTTTTCAACCCTGTATACAGTATATACACATTTACGAGTATGAAATCGTCAGGAGCCACGTGAGTTTGCAAAGGTTTAATTGCCACTCGGAAACAAACGGCAAATTGTCCGCATGACCGGGCTCATTCAGCTTTTGATGACGGGCTTAATAAAGTTTTATCGCCAGTGGGGGGAGGGGGGTAGAAGGAATTGTAAGACGGGGTAATTATGAGTGAGGCCCAGGATAAGGCCCATTACCAGTCCTGAATTATTTACTTTTTGGAGTGTTACCACACAGCAAAAACGGTACTGTACCTACGTTCACGTTTCTCTCCTCGCTTGGAATTCTGGGGAACAACTGTATTTTTTGAAATTATTAAATCCCAAGGATCAGTATCCATTTCGATTTGAAAAATATATGAGCTTAACTTAGTATCCTCGCATCAAGTTCCTTATATGGAATGGCTAGTGTAAAGGTCACGCACAATACCTTTCACTTGCAATTTTTTTGGAACTACAGTACAGTACTTATTAGAAAACATTAGTTTTCTTCAATAAAGATGCCTTCATGACTATAGGATTCATGGCCAAAAGCTGGGCTCATTCTATGACGATATTCTACGCGCAATTTTCATCTTACTTATAATGTGATACTGTTTCAGATCCAGTGACTTTGATTGTATTAAAAAAACATTTATAAGCATTACCACATTCGCGATTTTCTTGATTCTGCAGAATTTCTACCGCATTGCGAGGATGGAAGTTAGCCATTTGCAGATAACTTTGAGTCCACAATTTTCCACTCGAAAGATTCAACAATTAAGGAACTTTTTGGTGTCTCGACCTCAAAAAGTCAACCGTTTGAGTGTTCAGGTCATAAAATTTTAGAAGTTTCATGACGAACTGAGATGAGTAATGGAATTTAATAAAAAAATATCCAAGCAATGCTATTTGTCGACGTCTTTCTGATTTATCCGAATATTATAGCAAAGTCATTTCAGGGAATGATTTTTCGAAGAAAAATGAAGAGTTTATAGGTTGCCTCCTGAATAATTGAGGCAAAGTTAGCCCAGGTATACTTGCATATTTAATTTGAACCTGAAATTCAGAGAAGGCTCCGCAAAATTTGATCACAAGCAATTTTTTTTTTCAAAACTTGAAAATATTTCTTAACGGCTTCTTTAGTATTGCATCGTATATTCTTCCATGCCTAGAATTTTTCGTCAAACGGAGGACTTATCCTAATTTTGCAAATACTTTCCGTCCCACTTACAGAAAACTGAACGTAATTGCAGAGTCCCAAAAATATTTTTATCAGCATTTATATTCTTCCATGCCTAGAATTTTTCGTCAAACGGAGGACTTATCCTAATTTTGCAAATACTTTCCGTCCCACTTACAGAAAACTGAACGTAATTGCAGAGTCCCAAAAAATATTTTTATCAGCATGCAGAAATTCGCAATTTTTTAAATTCCGTCCGCGCGCCGACAATTTTCACTGGAAAATATTTCAGAATGTATAGGTGTATTATTGGGACACTTTCTGAATAAGTTTCGACCTTAAAAAGTTTGAAAGCATAGGATAATGGTCTCACTATATGACTATACGATATATACATGGAGCATTTAATTGTAGAGTATTTCTGTCTCTGTTTCTTTGCTTTAGTTTTACCAGGATCAGATCCCAGGATGCATCGACGAACCACCCTGATTGTGGGGCTGGTGAGCAACCTGTGGCTCTTCATGGGCCTGGCCCCAACCTCCCAGGCCCTGGATGTGAAGCCCCATGTGCCGAAGGTTGGCGATCAGAAGTGCCCATCTAACAAGGCGCTTGGACAGTGCACGTGAGTCGCATTCCGATTTATATAAACGTCCGAGTTTACCCCCCTTTGTTTCATTCCTTTTTTTTCTTTTTTTTTACCCCCCGTATAGCTGCTTTCATTTTTATTTTTACTGTATCCGTTCGGTAATTGGATGAGTGAGTGACTTCAGGAGCGACGAGCATGGCTTTTATTTTTCGAACGTCGGTGAACATTTCTCGACGGATGTTGATTGCAGTATTTTTTGAATTAATGTATTTTTATATTTTCATCAGGTAGAAAAATAATGGAACAATTTCCTAGCTAAGAAAGTGTCTCGTCAGTAGCTGTTGAAACAAATTTATAATTGTCTTTTGTATCACTGCTGTTTTCATTGTTCAATTATGTTTTGGACAATGCATGATTGAGTGAACAATCGAATTTCGGGGATTTATTTATTCATGATTTTTGATTTGGAGAAAATGTGAAGGGACGTTTGCCAATTATAAAATTACGAATCGCACAATATTTTAGCTTACGTTTCCTTTTTTTCGAGGAATCAAACTTTAGTGGTTCATTTATTCAGAACTAATTGGACGACACGCTAATTCGAGCCGGTAAAATCGTTCAAGCTTGCCTGATTGAACTTGCTTCCCAAGTAATCGGGATTTTGAGAGTCCTTTCTTTCTTTAGCCCGATTTTTGTACAATTCAAACCCGGAATGCAGTATTGTGGAACTCCGATTATTTTGGCTAATTTTTGGGTACTCTTGTCCGGATAATGCCATTAAAGAAGAACTCGAGGCTTATGTTATTCAATAATTTACCAACATTGTAAAAAGAAACCCGACAATATTTACGACATTTCTGCAGATTTCAAGGTCCATAATTGGATTAATTATTCAGTCGCAAGAAAAATAAAAGGGCTCTTGCAACAACTAGTCATCGTTCCGATAGATAATACTGTACTACGTATTTCCGTTTTGAACAATGAAACGAAATTTCGGGGATTTATTTATTCATGATTTTTGATTTGGAGAAAATATGAAGGGACTTGCGCCAATTAAAATTACACATCGCACAATATTTTAGCTTACGTTTACTTTTTTTTTCGAGGAATCAAACTTTAGTGATTCATTTATTTCAGAACTAATTGGACGACACGTTAATTCGAGCCGGTAAAATCGTCCGAGCTTGTCTGATTAAACTTGCTTCCCAAATAATCGGGAATTTCAGAGGCCTTTCTTTCTTTAGCCCGATATTTGTACAATTCAAACCCTGAAAGCAGTATATGGAGTCACTATTGCAAGTCCTGCTTAAGTTCCTTTTTTTTCGAGGAATAAAAATTAGGTTATTCATTTATTCAGAACTAATTGGACGACACGTTAATTCGAGCCGGTAAAATCGTCCAAGCGTGCCTGATTAAACTTGCTTCCCAAATAATCGGGAATTTTAGAGGTCTTTCCTTCTTAAGCCCTATTTTTGTACAATTCAAACCCTGAATGCAGTATATGGAGTCACTATCGCAAGTTCCTTTTTTGAGGAATCAAAATTAGGTGATTCATTTATTCAGAACTAATTGGACGACACGTTAATTCGAGCCGCTAAAATCGTGCAAGCTTGCCTGATTAAACTTGCTTCCCAAATAATCGGGAATTTCATAGGCATTTCTTTCTTTAGCCCGATTTTTGTACAATTCAAACCCTGAATGCAGTACAGTATATGGAGTCACTATTGCAAACCCTGCTGGTCCCCATGGTCTGGTGATTGGGCTTTGTGTGCGCTCTGCCATTGGATTGCATCGCGTCGTGCAGACTATAATGCCATTAAAGAAGAACTCGAGGCTTATGTTATTCAATAATTTACCAACATTGTAAAAAGAAACCCGACAATATTTACGACATTTCTGCAGATTTCAAGGTCCATAATTGGATTAATTATTCAATCGCAAGAAAAATAAAAGGGCTCTTGCAAAAATTAGTCAGCGCTTTGAAACATAATACTGCACTACATATTTCCGTTTTGAACAAGGAAACGAAATTTCGGGGATTTATTTATTCATGATTTTCGATTCGGAGAAAATATGAAGGGACTTGCGCCAATTAAAATTACACATCGCACAATATTTTAGCTTACGTTTACTTGTTTTTTCGAGGAATCAAACTTTAGTGATTCATTTATTTCAGAACTAATTGGACGACACGTTAATTCGAGCCGGTAAAATCGTCCAAGCTTGCCTGATTAAACTTGCTTCCCAAATAATCGGGAATTTTAGAGGCCTTTCTTTCTTTAGCCCGATTTTTGTACAATTCAAACCCTGAATGCAGTATTTGGAGTCACTATTGCAAGTTCCTTTTTTTCGAGGAATCAAACTTTAGTGATTCATTTATTTCAGAACTAATTGGACGACACGTTAATTCGAGCCGGTAAAATCGTCCAAGCTTGCCTGATTAAACTTGCTTCCCAAATGATCGGGAATTTTAGTGGCCTTTCTTTCTTTAGCCCGATTTTTGTACAATTCAAACCCTGAATGCAGTATATGGAGTCACTATTGCAAGTTCCTTTTTTTTTTGAGGAATCCAAATTAGGTGATTCATTTATTCAGAACTAATTGGACGACACGTTAATTCGAGCCGGTGAAATCGTCCAAGCTTGCCTGATTAAACTTGTTTCCCAATTAATCGTGAATTTCATTGGCCTTTCCTTCTTAAGCCCTATTTGACATGTTAAGTTTGGGACTTACGTCATGTCATATACCTCAGTGATAACGTTTGGGACGACCAGGGGTACCAGACCACTAACCCGAAACACACGCGAGACGGTAACCTAACGTAGCGCAGCACGTCTGGCTATTAGCTTTTCTGGGGGGTGTCTCCAGGGGGATAAAAAAACCCCTACGTGAGCCGACCAGGGGAGAAAATGCCGTAAACTAAGAAGCCCCCCTACGAAGCGAAAAACGTCCGCCATATATATATATATATATTCGGGTAGTGACCGTTGTGCACACTCTCACGTGTTTCCTTTTCGTCCAGAGCGAAACGGGGCTATGTGGCTTCATCAAACGCGGTACAGCTTGGGTGCCCCCTGGGCGAGGGTTTCTTCTTTGTTTTTTGTTTTTTTAGATTTTTTTGTTTGTTTACTGCCTTAACATGCCGTTCCATATAAAACCCTGTTTGAGGTGACAAAAATATGATACCAGGCTTCGAAGGTTGCAGTGTTGAAGTTTTCTTTTTTTTTTTGCGCAAGCCTTGTTCAAAAAGAGACTTTGATGAAGGCTGAATTATAAAGAGCCTGCTTGCTGAGACTTGAAAGCATTTTGTAGATTTTTCTTTTTCTTATTAACTGCGATCAGAGCTATTATAGGGAAGGTTTTATTTTCATTTCCTTTTACTGTTTGATGCGATTGCAACTGCGACACATCTTCACAACAGCAAGTTGACTGAAAATAGTCTGAAATGTTCCACTTTCCAAAAACTTTTGTCACAGATTTTTCCAAAGCAATATACAAGTGCTGCATGAACCCAATCATTCGGGCTTTGATTTTCCGAGTATTTGAATAATCATAATTAAATCATAATCCAACATGTGGAAAAAATTATCTACGCAATTATTTTTGCAATTGCCGCTCAATTTTGCTTAAACTCCTTGCAGTAGGAACTGTACGGTCTGAAAAGGCACATTGAAAATTGTTGTTAAACTTCAGCCAATTCTTCATTACAGCAATAAATTTGAGCACCTGTCGAATTCAACTTTCTTATTAATATTTAATGATCCATAATGCTATATGTTTTCTGGTCAAAGGTACCCGATTATTCATCGTCAAGATCATTCAAGTTCTCCAGTAGTCAAAAATTTTGCCACCGTTGCAATTTTACCTGCAGTCCTGCACAAATTCTTTCTCCGAATTGAAAACGGCGTCAATTACAATTACATATGTAGAGTATTGTGCAATAATGCACCACCCAGATATCAACAACAATAAACAAGAGCCAATTTTTAAAATTAAGTGTTTTTGTGACAGCTGACCAACGCCTTTAACTTATTGAATAGTAGCGGTTTTTCCCGAGGAGGACTAAGTTTTTAAGCTAGGAGTGATTTATAAATTCGTTTCATTTAACAGTGTTGCTTCTAGCATTTTCAAGGTTCTAGGTATTCATCACAGGTTCAGTATAAGTGTCTGGAAGAAAATTCCTTATTTTTAGAAAAGCTTATTTTCAGCTCAAATAAAGGTAAGTGGGCAAACATAAATATTTGATGAGCAAAAGCAGGAGAATTTCGCCATTGCTTTCCACTATTCTTGGAAAATTGCTGCGGTTGTGAGTCCTTCTCATGGTCTATCATCACGAACTAAAAAAAAAATCACGCCACAGGGAAAAACGAAAACATAGATTCAGCAGCAAAAATTTCGCAATCACTTTTCCTCAATTATCGTCACAAAATTTCTTCGTCACTCTCCAGCAGAACTTGGAGAAAAATTTCTCGCTTCTTATTTTTTTCAGCTAAAAACCGAGAAAAACATTCTCTTTTGAAAGTTATCTTCATACTGTATTTTTCTAGACTTCATTCGAGTGAAAACATAGCATATATTTATGGAATTAATGGACACGAATCGAGTCAGGAGAGTTTCATGCCCGCATGCTGACTGCATATATACAGCATTCGAATAAAGACCTTTGATGTTGAGTTTGATTTGATTGGTGCGGAAAAATAAATTTTGCTCGACGCGTAATCCCGAAAACATGTCGACTTCCTTTTTCCATTTTTTGCGGTATCAATTTTATTCATTAAAAAAAAAGAATTCGGGGGAAAAAAGAGATGGAGCAACAAATGACTCCGTGTCTCCTATATGCCCCACGAACCTTATTCGTTACGCTATATAGAGTCGAACATGAAAGCGGTTGCTTTGAAAAATAGTTGCAGAACACGCTAGGAGACTTTGGACCTCGCAGTTTTGCTCAGAGGAAAGGCATACATAAAGTTTTAAATGTCACATATTCCTGGCATTTCGTGAGAGACTTGAAAACATTCTCCGCGCCCGGAAATATTCGGCTTTTCCTTCGTCATCGGTCGTTGAAAGGAACATAACTGGTACTTGGCACTGGTAAACGTAAAATACAATTAAGTATATTTGAATATTGAATGAACGTCTTGAATTTGCTAAAGAAGGCAGGATTGCTCCTGATTACCAAGACCTTTTCGGCTAACATCGAGTTAAAAATGTCTGATATAAATACAACTTAATTGCCGATTTCATTTCAAAGGCACTCATTAAAAAAAAAATTCTGGAGCATTTCGAAGAGGTTCATCCGGTAACCGATGCAATATTAGAATCAGGAGAACCATTTGATGTTGAATATAGTGCATGGCGTCGTGCAAATACGACTCACAATCTGTTCATCGCAAAAATTTCTTCAGATAATCAAGGCACAATAAAGGATAATAACTTCACGTGTTCCAGTATAAACAGCATGATTTTGAAGCTTGAAAAGAGGAAGAAAATCAATGGAATCCGATAATGAATCAATTGTCGTATTCAAACGATTTAAATATGAAAAATTGATCATCGCCAAGAATCCCATTATTTTTGTTTGAGTCCAGGCGGACTTAATTATCTACAAATTTCCCAATTTGGGCCTGAAATAATCGTTTGATCAATGACGCTTACAAAGGGAAAAATGTTCATTTTCCGGATATGAGTTTGCGAATATGCTCATTGTTGGACTTCGAACATGAATCAATCAACATTTGCACATTCTCATGTATACGATCAACTGGAAAAACTTTATTTTTATTTTTCCGGAATGTTTGAATGCCATGTTCCTCCGGCAGGAAATTTAATTTCACATTTCTTCAATTCAACTCTTTTTGCCCAAAAGTGATGTCATAATTTCTGGTTACGTTTTATATTTTGGGAAAAGAAAATGTAAAAACTTGTTGCTTTGGTTTGAGTATATGAGCTCATTTTGAAATTCGACAACGAATGGAATTTAAACTTTCACAGCCTCATCTATAAAGAAGGTTCAATTTTAACAATCCGGAATGTCTGAATACCATGTTCCTCCAGCAGGAATTGTAATTTCACAATTCTTTAATTCAACCCTTTTTGCCCAATAATTGATGCCATTATTTCTGGTTACGTTTTATATTTTGAGAAAAGGAAATGTAAAAACTTGTTGCTTTGGTTTGAGTATGAGCTCATGTTAAAATTCGACAACGAATCGAATGTCAATCTTTACAACCTCATCAAAAATAATGCATAATTTTGAAGAATACTCAAATAACACCGAACCCCATTTCGCGACGTTTTTCTTCAAGTCACTCCTGCATGTGAGCATATATATATGGCATGACCATGCGGAAGTAGTTTCCTTCCTTACCCCCCCCCCCCTAACATATTATATACCATATCTTGCGCCTTGTTTTCTTCTTCTCCTTCTCTGGGTTCGTTCCCCCTTCTGTTTTTGCTGGTTGCTGCAATAATATACGTGCTGCGTGGGGGGTTTTCTTTTCCGGGTTCGGATGTCGCGTGTTGGTGGGATCTCAGGTGCAAGTCCCGCAGTTCCGGGCTCTACATTGCCTGCCGGGACACGACAGAGGAAGCCATCCTGGGGGTGCTGGACTCGATCAAGGAGATCAACCGAGACTCGCCAACACCGCCAGTAAGTACACGCATCGCATTCCTGGGATGTTTTCTGCAAGTTTCTGCATTTTGAATCATCCCGGGAAATAAATGAGGGAAAATTGGTTTTGAAAAGCTGGTTCGCAAACCCCGGCCAGATAAAATGTGGGTATCAATGGAGGCGTGAATGACACGAAAGTATCGTTTGGAAGACAGCAGCTAGGATCTTTTTCATCCCATGGCAGAAGCAAAATTATTTTGAATGT